TCCCGTTTACGTAGGCCCATAGATCGTTTTTAATTAAAACTGCACGCATGTGTAGCTTCCAAGTGTCGTAATTTTCTGCATTTAGAGGCTCGATACGCACGACTCCCGCCATTTCTGCAATTTTTTACGCAATTTCTTTTCGAAATTCAAATACTTATTTTACTTTTTATTTCACGCACGGACAATGAACTTTTACTTTTAGATTGAAATGCAAAGCGCAGTTGTGATGGGTCTGGGCCCATAACCTATTGGAATAAATAAATTTAACAACCGTTTCGTTTGAATGCTACGTTCGAAGTGAAGGTAGGATAGTAAGAACTTTATTAAGTAAATATTTTACATAATGGGAACAGAGTGAAAAAGAAACAATAAATAGTCGTCGATATTACTTCGTTCCAACATAAAATTATTATAAATTATATGTATTTAATATATTTTATTAAAATTATTATTTTTATTAAAGTATTATAACAATTTTAATATATTTAAATATTTTAATATATTTAAATTTTTATTTATTTATTTTATCCTTTAGGGTTTTTTTCCACAAATTAAAGCACTAACTATTGTTATTTAAAACAATAGATAATGAAAGAAACCCAAATTCTGAAATGAATGTGATTCATAGAATAAGTTAAAATAAACTTTTGCAATTGTGCGCATGTGAAACATTGCTTCCTTTTTATTGTAACATAACATCTGTACAATCATAAACTATTATTGCAGTTTATTAATTTAAGGACATTTCTATCCTAATTATAAAACTAAATACGAAGTTTGCAGAGGAACTCAAATTTTAGTTAAATTTATAATTTCAATTAATAAAAAAAATATTCAACTTTGTTTTATTGTATAAGTTAACGAACAGAACATAAAAAATATAAGTTGCTTCTCTGGAAGTGCGGTTGGCTCTATCATCTTCATTTTGCACTTCATTCATAATGCATGTGCATATGTGCAAAATGAGGAAAGACTATTATTTTTTAGTTTAGTGTTAAGTTTGAAGTGATATAATAATGTTAACTCCAGCTCTTTTTATAGAGCTCAAAAAAAATAAAAAAATAATTAAATATTTTTTTTATTTAATTTATATAAGAATATAATAAATTATATACATATTTAAATAATAATATAAATAAATAAAGTAAACATTTTCTATTATTTACTATAAAGTATTCATTATATTTATTTCTGATAATTTGTGCAGCAGACAAATATTGCAATTTTTACACTTAAATCAACATATGATACGCAATTCTTTTCTTTGTCTTGCTCGTTTTCGCATTTTTCATCATTAAAAAGTGCCATGGTTGCCAAAATTTAACAAAACAAATTTGAAACTGTTGTTGTTCCCAAAACTTCTGTCTTCCAAGCAAGTCAGAATAAGGGAGTTGTGTTTTTGGGAACAGCAAGGGAATAGAATTGCAATGGGTATATTTTACATTAACTTTTACGTTATTTTAAACTTTATGTATCAACAACACTTGCGTTGGGACTAAACAAATCACAGAAAGAATTCTGTGTTTATTCCATCACTATAATTGATGTAAACAAACAATTTAATAATAAATATATACACATAGCAGAAGAAGCCTACGTTCACCCATAAAATTTTTCTTAAGTTTCGCAAAACTTTTAAATTAATTTTTATTTTCTGATTTATTGTAACCAAAGAAACAACAATAAAGTTCTAATACAAAAAATTAAGTTATTCTTTAAAAAAAAATTAAACACAATTATATGTAAAAGCAACAATTTTTAAAGCAGAAAAACTCTGCGGACACTTTTTAATATTTCAATTAAAACAATTAAAATTCACAGAAACCTACAATTTAATAACCTGTGGGATAACCTCTGCGTTTCATAACCTCTTTTAGACTATGGTCTGTTGATTCTGGTAGCGTTTGAAGTTGCCTGAGAGCATAGCATAGCAGCCAAATTCGTACGATCGCTGCTGTATGCTTAGAGCTGTTGTCCTGCAGAAACAAGATAGTTGCCTCAAGCTCTAACATTCTGTCATTTTCTTTCAAATTTGTTTTAAGTATATTTTGATGCCCACATTTATGCATTGTATATTGTATAAGTTCAAGTTTGGCAGCACCAATACTTGCTATACACTCCCAAATTATTAGGCCTACATCACCATGTTTCACAGTTTAAATAAATTTTTGTTTATTATAAGCCGTAAATAATTTTCTCCACACAAGTTTTCTATCTTTGATTCCAAATATGCAAAATTAGCTCTCATCGAACAAAATAACTCATTTTTAGAACTTCATAGATTTATACATGTTTTCTAGCAAAGCTTAATCATTCTTTTCTAAAACATCTGGATATGTATGGCTCTTTCTTGCAACCCGGTTATAATACATGCATTTCTTCAAAATTTTCCGCACAGTATGAGGACATATTTTGTTTCCAAGTATTTCGGCAATATGTTCAGCTAATTTGTATTTACTTTCACCTGGTTGATTATGTAACTTCTTTCTCTATCTGACAGAATTAAGGGGGCGATTAATGCGAGGTTTAGAAACGTAATTACCCGTCACCTTGGAGTTATTTACAACTTTTTGCACAGATGAATATTGATGATCAATATCTATAACATTAATTTCATGTATTTTATTTTCCTTTATAAAATTTTACTGTTTATATAAAAAAATCTTTTTAAATGATTATTTCTTTCGGAAGCCAACTGATAATTAAAAATCATTTAAAGACACGATTATGCTTGCAAGCGAATTTAAATTAATGGTAAATGTAAATATTTAGAGGTGAATTTAGTTTTTATCTGCTTCACAAATTGTTGCTTTTGCATATACCTTGTGATCAAAAAAGAACTTATTCGTTCTTTTTTTGAATTCCCGCATTTATCCAATCGGTAAATTTATTTTATTTTCACGCCGGCAACACTATTATACACATTCTGTCAAATTTTAACGCATATCGTACGATTAGTTTTTGCTTGGCGTCTATACAAAGAAGTCGAAAAATTTTCGTATGGCGATTTTTAGCTGAATTTCATTCAAAAGAAGCGTCGTTGTGATGTGGCTAAAGAGATGATTTCCAACGCAGATAGTGACCCCACATTCATCGAACGCATCATAACTGGTGATGAGACATGGGTCTATGAATAAACATGGCCACCAAACAACAATCGATCGAATGGTGCTTCGAAGGTGAGCCGTAACCGAAAAGAGAACGCCAAAGTCAGTCCAAAATCAAGGTTATGCTGTTCTGTGACTGTTTTCTTCGATATTCGTGTTGTGTTGCGCTATGAATTTCATTCGAATGGTCAAACGGTCAATAAGGAGTATTATTTGGCCATTGTACGTCGTTTGCGTGAAGCCATTCGCAAAAAGAGGCCAGATTTATGGAAGGAAAACTCATGGATTTTACAAAAAATCCACCAATATCCTCAACCAAACACCGTACTTTCCAGATATGGCCCCGTGTGACTTTTTCCTCTTTACCCGACTCAAATTGCCATTGCGAGAAACGCGTTTTGAGACCATAGAGGCCATAAAAGAGAATTCGCTGCGTGAACTAAAAGCCATACCTTCGGCAGCTTATAAAACTTGTATGGAAAATTGGATCAAGCGTTAGCAAGCATGTATTGCCGCAGGAGGAGAGTACGTTGAAGGCGATAATAAAGAAAATTATTAAAAATTAAATTTTGTGTTTTTTTTAACTTCTTGTTCTTTTTTGATCAAATAGTATATAATTTTTTTTTTAAATAACTGTTAATTTTTTGTATTAGAACTTTATTGTTGTTTCTTTGGTTAAAATAAATCAGAAAACAAAAATTAATTTCAGTAAAAATTAAATAGGTTATGCGAAAATTAAGAAAAATTTTATGGATGAACGTAGACTTTTTCTGCTGTGTGTTGGAATGCTTAAATTTTAAATTTGCCTAATTTTTATGACCCTGTAAATTAAAACAATTTTTGATTAGTTTTTTTTTGCCGCATATAAAACTAGTTAAATTTGTTGTAACTATTTCTCTTGTTTGTCTGCATAAACAAATTTAAGAATATTGTGCACGCATTTTTTATGTGATGCAGTTATTTTTATTGAATTTAATTGCAATGCGTACAACAATAAGAAATTTGTTTCGACAAATGTACGGGACCTTGTTTATTTGAAAATAATTTTTGTTTTTGCCTGTAATGGAAGGAATTGCAAATAAAAGGGCAGCGAAATTGCCAAATCGTTCTATTCGGAATTTCTTTCATTTCAACTTAAGTCAGTTCTATTAGGGACGATATTGGGAGCTCGGACTAGTTGGTCCAGGCATATGTTGATTCGTTTGGCGTTTGCTGACGATCACCATGTGAATGGATGAACTGGTTTGGGCGAAGTGATAGTGGTTGAATTGCCTTCTGCTTGGATGATGCTGGCGTAGGGCAATTTAATCAGTTGAGTTACCTTCGGCTTGGCTCATGCTGGCATAGGGTAATTTAACTAATCTTCTAGACTTCCATTTGGCCGTAGCTGATGGAGGAATGGACGACGAGTCACCAACACTCTCAGAAGGCGTGTGGGACTACGAGCGTTTGGCAATTAATGACGGATGTGGAAAGGCGTAACAGCAGGAAGGGATCCTTGTCTGGCAATAGCTGACAAAGGTACTAATTAAAATTTTTGATTAGGGTTTTTAAGGCTATTGGGAATTTCTTTCATTTCAAGTTACAACGCTTCCATCGATTGCAACGCGCGCACTACCTACAACAAACAATTTTCAACAATTGCGATAACTTCATCATTTATAACAGTTACAACGCTTACGCTTGTGAGTCTATTGCCTCTCACAACATTAATGTATGTTTTCTTTTTCTTTGTCAAATAATAAACGCTGCTATAAACAGAAGTGTCTCTATTATTTTATTTTTTTTTAATTTCTTATAACGAACCCTGGTATACTCGCTGAGTATACCCCAGCTATAGAAAAGGGCCGGAAAATATCGTTACAGTGTATGTATATATATATATGTATTTACCTTTCAGTTTAGAAAAAATTGTGTTGATAGAATACTTAACACCAGATTGTGGCTCCAAAGGTAGTTGCATTGATAAAGTTTTCGGAATTAGAACATTATTTGCAAGTGATGAATTGAAAATGTTCGGACTTGAAGTTAGGTTATATCCAGCACTATGATTGTTGTCATTTCTAGTGAAATATGTATTTAATTTAAATTCGTTTGTAGAAGCTTTATCACTAGTAAGTGGGCTAAAAATATGATTTATTAATATACTTTAGAAGTGTTTACTGAACCTTACGTACCCTTTTGGTTGTGTAACAAGGAAATGCGTGCTATGTCCTTCCATACGCATTGAGCTCTCTTTTAGCTTTTTATTACATTGTTTGTTCTGTTTCTGCATATTTTTTAAAATACTCATCAACTTTTGACGTTCTGTTGTTTCGTTAGAATCTTGACTTACAAGCATAAAGTCACAACCAATAAAATTAATAAGTTCCAAATACATTTTTGAATTGCAGTGTTTCTGTGAAAAAGTATTACTGCATGTTGCAGAATTTGTGGGGTGAACTGAGGAAAAATTTGATTGAGTAGTAGATAGATCACTAAAATAAGGATGAAGTGACTCACATAATGAAATTTCAGTATTTATTGTTGATTGTTTTAAATTAAAACTTCTACTTCGCAGCGATTTTAAAAATGAAATTAATTTGTGCCGTTCTTTGAGAACTTTAAGACGTTTAATAAAAGGCAAGTCAATGTATTCTGAAGACAGGTTGGAACTAGATTTATAAGTTTTCAAACGACTCTTGGAAATATCAGGGCCACCTCTGAAGCTTTTCAGCATTTTTATATTCGATCTGTCTTCAAATAAAACTTGCTGAAGTATGCTTTTTGAGGCAATAGATGACGTAGATAAATTATTTGACATTGATTGAGAGTTATTTGCTTTACTAAATACAGTCTTTTCTTGTTCTGAAGTTGTTTCCCGCAGCTCGTTTAAAACATTGTTTTCTGAACTTAAATCATTTGAATGTAGCTTTTTAATTGTTTGAACACTAGAACTTATGCAATCACCTGATTGCAATTTTTGTGCGCGTTGTTTAAAAGATACTTTCGCAACGAGTTTCATTTGCTGAGTTGGCATAGGGGCGTTGTCTGAACTATTAAGAGTTTTGTAAGTTATGTTTGCGTTATCTCGTACACAACATTTTTTGTTTCTATTATTGTTAAAGCTATCTGCGAAACTGAGAGATGATATATTTGATGACAAACTTGATGATGACATCTTAAACATAAAAAATTCGAGTTAATTAAATGCAAAAATATACATTAATAATATTTGTAATTACCATTTCATTAGAATTTTTTTCATGTGAATCAGATTTCGTTGTAATTTGGTGTTTTTGCTGCATTTGCTGGATTAAATGTAATCTATCATTAATTTCTTGTTCAGGTTCTTCTTGTATAGAAGTCTGCGGTGATAATGTACACATTATATAAGAATTTGTTGGAGATTTTTGTGTTGGTGTTGATATTACAGCTCGCTCTTCGCGGTCCTAATGCAAGACATATAAAATAACATTTTAAATATTTTTATATATACAAAAACAGCTTATTAAAAAAAAAGGAACAAAAATATTAAAGAAGAGAATGTTGTGAGTTAAATAATTATTTTACCATATTTAAATTTGCAGCCCTATTCTGAATCGCATGGGAATGGGAGTTTGTTCCCTATTCCCGAGTTTGCTATTCTGCATAATTTGGGAATGGGAGTGTTGTTCCCTGTTGCCAATTTTGCTATTCTGAATCGCATGGGAATGGGAGTTTTTTCCCAATTTTGCACAAATTCTTTCCCAAGCAAATTGTTTGGGAGACAAGTTAAAAAGTATTAAAAATATTTTAATTTAGTATGAAAGTAATTGAAAATGATAAGATTTTTGAATATATTGCAATAATATTATTATTATAATAAAATTGTTATTATTAAAATAATATTATTATGATAAATTTAATATTTTGGAGGCAATATAAGTACATTGGGTACGGTCAATATTGAACACCAAAAATTTCCAGCTTTACAATTCAAAATGCATGTAGTGCCAGTAGGTAGTCATTTACCAGCAAACGGACTTCTAGACCGAGATGAACTGTGGAACCGGTCTATTACAGACACAATTAAAAAGGTTTTGAAATTTTTCAATAATGAAAAGGAATTAGCTACTTTACCACTGGTAAGTATTGTAGATCATTGTCGGATTTGTATAGCTGAAAGGATGACAATCCATGGTAGATCAACAATGATTATTCCAGTAAAAGTACTGCCCAAAGAAGGGACACTCGTAATACACAAAAAGGAAATTATTAGAAATGTCTATTTAGGTGAATGTTTAACCGCAGTGAAAAACGGAATAAGAATTTTGAATACAAATAACTATGCAGTTATAATGAGTAACGAGTAGTGATATGAATGAGTACTATGAGTAAAATGTACCAAATGTTAATTTGAACAAAGAAGTAAACTTAATTAGATTGGATGAGTATTTAAACGATGAAGAAAGACGGGTAATTACGCAAACAATTAAGGAATATAACGATGTTTTTTACTTGCCAAGAGATAAACTGCCTACACATCAGTATTGGAACACTAAATTCCAACAAGTCAGGATCAAATACCAGTAAATCAACGACAATATACCATAGATTACCAGAAGCACATACGGAAGAAATTAATAAACAAATTAATGAAATGCTGAATGAAGGGATAATAACAAGGAGTAAGTCACCATGGAACTCTCCTATCATATTTGTGCCAAAAAAGTCAGGTATGGATGGGAAAAAGAAATGGCGTCTCGAGATGGCTTTTACTATAGAAAAATAAATGAAAAAACAATTAAACAGGTATTTCCAATTCCTAGAATTAATGAAATCTTAGAGCAACTAGGATGCAGTAGATATTTCTTAACGCTGGATTTGGCTAGTGACTATCACCAGGTGATGGTAGATAGTGAAGACAGGAAGAAAACGGCATTTAGTACGGGCCTGGGATATTTTGAATTTCTTAGGATGCAATTTGGTTCAACAGGAGCACCCGCAACTTTTCAACGAATTATGAACAGTATTTTGACAGGATTACAAGGGATGGATTGTTTGTCTATCTCGACGATATTGTAATCTACGGAAGGAATTTAAACGAACACGACCAAAGGATAAGGAGAGTATTACAAGCACTAAGAGAAAATAATTTAAAATCACAAACGGAACAATGTTAGTTTTTAAGACGACAAGTAGTGTATCTTGGACATAAATTTTCAGACAAAGGAGTAGTTCCAGATCCAGACAAAACCAAGTGTGTTAAGTATATCCCAGTACCTCGAAATGTTAAGGAACTGCAATCATTTTTGGGACTTGTGAATTATTATAGTAAATTTATACCGCAAGCAGAGAGTGCGTGCTTACCACTTAATAAATTACTAAGGATAGGAGAAAAGTACGAACGGAATGACAGTTGCCAAGAAGTTATGATTAAATTGAAGGTTGCCATAATGAATCCTCCTATACTTCAATATCCAGATTTCTTAAAACCATTTGTGTTAACAACCGACGCTAGTAATGAAGCGTTAGGTGCGGTATTATCTCAGGGAGAAGTAGGTTCTGATTTACCACTTTATTTCGCAAGCCGTGCGCTGAGTAATACGTAGAAAAGATATTCAACTATAGAAAAAGAATTTCTAGCCATAGTGTGGGCAACTAGAAATTTTAGGTCTTATTTACTGGGAAGACACTAAAATATTTACAGACCATAAGCCATTAAGAGGTATTAAGCTATTAAGAGGTATAGCGAATCTTAAAAACTAAGACACACGTTTAGGAAGATTCCGTTTGAAATTGTTGGAATACGATATGGAAATTTTATACAAACCAGGAATCACAAACAAAAACTGCTCTGAGTCGACTACCGATAGCAGTAGTAACGAAAGGAAATAAAACAGCAACGGAACTAATGGAAAAAGAAAATAAATGGAACAAAATGACAAAGTAGAAAAGGAATATGCAAAAGATCAGACGAAAGAAGATTACGCAGTATTCCTAACCAATAAGAGAGATATCCAGGAAGTGTTAGGGAAATTTCATGACTCACCTATCGGAGGACACCAAGGGGTTGTTAGAACATATTTTCGAATACGAAAGCAGTTTAAATAGGCAGGTATGCAAAGACAAATAAAGGACTACGTCGGAATATGTCAACAATGTCAGAAGAACAAAAGCTCTAGGATAGAGAATATGCCGATGGTTTTAACTGGTACCCCTCAAAGACCATTCGACAAAGTTTTTGTGGATGTTGTAGGTCCGCTACCTAGTGCAGAGAGCGGGAATAAGCTCATCTTAACATTTCAGCATGATTTTTCTAAATACTTTGTGTGTACGGCACTACAGGATGCGGAAGCTGTGACAGTAGCAAGAAAATTCTTTAATGTGTAATAGATGTATTATTTATTTGAAATTATAAGGTTGCCATATAACGTATAAAACCGTTGCCGTTTCTTATCCTTATAATTATTATTTATAGTTAAGAAAATAAAAATTGTTTTCAATTATTGAGAACTTGGTGCGCTTCTGATGAGTGCATTTGTGGTTCCGATTTTTATTTAGGTTTTTACTTTCAACTTAACCTAGGTACATAACGACGCAGCGTGTGTACTTTCTTATTTACTAAATGTTTTATAATTATTATATATATTTGTGTTATTTATTTTAATATTCTAAATGTAACGGCGCACGGTAAGTACATTTCTATTTCGTAATTTATTGCTAAATAAGCGTATTCGATTCCACTTGCCTCAAGTACGCTTACTGTTGATATTGTTGTTTATGCGGTCAATGCCTGGCAAGCATATGGTTAACTCGAAGGCAAACTGCCGCCGATATGTGTGGTGTCAAATTCCATGTGTGTGGAATTATGCATTTGTTTGTAATCAATGCAATGCGCTTGGAAAAAATTAGTGTATTTATATATACACTGCGCATTCAAATATATAACCACTTATTATTGTATTAATAACATGCATAGCCAATATAACTATCGCATATATTCCTACTTTATTAAATAAAGTTTTAATTTTTAATAATTTCATATAATTAAATTTAGTGTATTTTAGTTATATTTATTTGTTTAATCACTACATTTATTGTATCTTATTCATTATATAATTTTATTCTATTAGCATGTACTAACTGTTTCTTATTTTTATTGTTTCTTATTTCAATGTTTCCATTGTTTTCTATACTTTCTATTCTATAAGGACCCGTGTATTGACTATCTAGCTTATGACCTACTTTATTCCTAAATAGAACTTTATCTCTTTTATTTAATTCTAATTGTTCACTATTTCTATCGTAGAGCAACTTTTGTTTTAATTTAGACTTATCTAGAAGTGTTTTGGCTCTAGTGTACGCTATTTCTAATCTATATTTAATTTCTTTACTATAGTCATCTGTATTATATAAAGGATCTATATTACTAATGACATTAAATTTATTGAAACCTTGGGGAATTTTTCCAAAAATAAGCTCGTATGGACAATATCCATGCACCACTGATGGGGTGGTATTGAGACAATACGTGAAGTATTTCAACCATCGAGCATCGGCAACATAATTTTCTTTGCCTCTGAGATACTCCTCTGTGAAATCGTATTCTTCGAAATCTAATCTCATTCGAGTTAGTTTTGAAGTCGGGTTTTTCATTGAGAAAAGGTAGGTTAATGGGCGATGGTCGGTCTTAATTAAGAAATGTGTACCATATATATATGGTCTAAAATGTGTTATAGCCCAATGAATTGCAATAAGTTCTTGTTCAATGGTTAACTTATTACTTTCTCCTTGAGTAAAGGTCATTGAAGCGTGCGAGACTGGAAGTTGTCTACCATCATGCTATTGGCTTAGAACTGTACCACAAGCATGCTTGCTTGCATCAGTAGTGACACAGAATGGTTATTTAAAATTTGGATACTGTAAAATAGTTGGATTCATAAGTTCATTTTTTAGATAATCAAACGCTTTCTGGCAATATTGTGTACATTGAAATGGAACTTCTTTTTTGGTTAATCTCGTTATATGTCGAGAATAGTCAGAACAATTTTTTATGAATCTTCTATAGTAGTTACAAAAAGCAACAAATCGTCGTGCTCCATCAGCATCAGTCGGTACTGGGTAGTCTCTTATTGCTGTGTATTTACTGTCATCCGGAAGGATGCCTTTGTTAGTGCATTTATGACCGAGATATGTAACCTCATGCATGGAAAATGTGCATTTGTCAGGATGTAGTTTAAGATTGTACTTTCGGCATAGTTCGAAAACATTTGTCAAATTTTTAAACATATGTCTTTCAAAACATCCGAGTACAACTAAATCATCCATATATAAAAATGCTTGAGATAGTGTTAAACCAGAAAACGCAAGAGTCATCATGCGTTGAAAAGAATTTGGAGCAATTTTCAATTCATACGGGAGTAGTTTGAAACGATAAGAGCCATTTTCTGTAGAGAATTATGT